CCGGACTCGGTCCAGCAATCCCTCCCCCCTCCGTTCCTCCTCCTTCAAGTACACTAGGTCCCGCACGATAACCTCATCTTGGCTGAACCGTGTGACAATGATCTCGAGAATGGCATGGTATTGAGCTAATTTGGCATACGACCCCGTAAGCACGATCTCTTCACGACCACGCTCCCATTTAGCATAGTCGATAGTACTCCCAGTACGTCAACAGCCGAAGGAGTCCATTGCGAGAACACAGACGGAGGTTTCCAGAAATGAAGGACGTCATCCGAAGCGTACTCGCACTTGTTATCAAACGGCGGAGCCGGTGCAGGGCGAAGGGGCAAAGAGCGGGCACCAGGCACAGGCGGGGGTGGATCAAGCGGACGGGTCATCTTCTCCGACGAGGCGGACCCAGAAAGCGAGGCAGAAGCGGGCGAAGTCGCAACGCTCCGTGATCCGGAGGGCGGCCGAAGGGCGGCGGCTCCGGCGGGGTCAATGTCAGCAAAGGCCATTCGGCTATTAGAGACCCGTTCGTTAGGAGAAGTCATTCCTGCAACAGACGGATGTGTGTTCATTGACGCAGGGCGCTCTTGTCTACTCCCCCTTGACAAAGGAGCCGAANTCAAGCGGACGGGTCATCTTCTCCGACGAGGCGGACCCAGAAAGCGAGGCAGAAGCGGGCGAAGTCGCAACGCTCCGTGATCCGGAGGGCGGCCGAAGGGCGGCGGCTCCGGCGGGGTCAATGTCAGCAAAGGCCATTCGGCTATTAGAGACCCGTTCGTTAGGAGAAGTCATTCCTGCAACAGACGGATGTGTGTTCATTGACGCAGGGCGCTCTTGTCTACTCCCCCTTGACAAAGGAGCCGAACCTTCCACAGAATGGTGGGCACTACCATCCGATCCCGATGGCAGTGGTGCAGTCAGCACGTGGTTGGCAGCAGAGGAAGACGCATTCGTATCAGGTACTGTCACACCGGGGCAGCGGACGGTCGAAGACAACGAAAGCTGCGAAAGAGAAGGAGGATCGACGGGGTTCCCGACGATTGTAGAAGAAGGCTCGTGTGCGATCCGAGAAGATGCCGGGCTGACAACACCAGGAGAGTCTTGACGAATAGTAGAAGACGAGATTCTTGTTCCTTTTGTAACCCGAGCGACGACGTGAGCGGGGATAGGCCGCTCGACGTCTTACCTCCCTGTCGCCCACACCACAAAGGTACTGCCGANAGATGCCGGGCTGACAACACCAGGAGAGTCTTGACGAATAGTAGAAGACGAGATTCTTGTTCCTTTTGTAACCCGAGCGACGACGTGAGCGGGGATAGGCCGCTCGACGTCTTACCTCCCTGTCGCCCACACCACAAAGGTACTGCCGAAATGGGTCTGTCATGGCCATTACCAGCAGGCAATGAGGCGGACGACGAGGAGGCGGGCCGAGAAACTAGATGTGATTAGGGAGCGTGGGGGGTACCCAAAGAATTAGGCTGTACACGAACACCTTGCGAGTCTCCAAAAGGGTGCACGGTGGTTGCTGTTGACGGTAGTACCGGCTGAACTCTGCCATCGGCTTGTCATTTCTTTCCCCTCCAGCCCCTTTTTGTCGAAGTGGAAGCCTCCGACGTGTGCCCTGTGTGTGAGGACTGTTTCGCGTCCGATGTGTCAGATGAGCGGCGGGCGCGTCCCAAGGGGTGATTTCGATGTAGGTTGCGTGCTGTAGGGCGTCTATACGAGGTCATGCGCTTTTTCCACCGAGCCCAAAGGGTGGGATCTTTTTCCATACAGAACTTGATGTCATTGTTATGCAAGCCGGTGGCGTTCACGAAACCACGATTACAGGATTTGAAGGAGTGGTCTTCTCCTAGGCAGTTGAGGCACTTGCCCTTGTGCAGTCGAAGCGCGTTGCGGCGTTCTTCAGCATAGACCAAGGGGGTGAACAATGGCGGATCATTCTTGGTTAGAGCCATCTCACTAGCGACCTTGTACACCTCTTGGAAGTGTCATTGCAACGGCCAGTCACTGTAGTGCAACAGAAAAGGGTCCCGATCATCATTAGGTAGAGGGTCAACACTCATCAAGGGGGGGGGCGATACCACCAAAGGCTGTTGCAACAGGGCTGGGGCTGTCGATGCTGACGATGCCACCGCAGGCCCGACCGGTACTGTCGCCGACCTCGTGGCTGATGACGGTGATCCTGACGTGGCCCTGGCAGTGGTTTCGGCACGAACATCGCGCCCTACAAGAGCTCCCAAAAAGCTCGAAGCGTGGTCTTGCAGCGGTGTCAGATGCGTTGGTGGNACACGCTGGCAGCTAGACTCGAAGCAAGCAAATTCATCAGGATCAGGACTGAGGGGCAAGCGTGTGACACTATCAAGTTGTTCCGGCTTCAGCTTGTCCATCTTGTCTTGAATGCGGATGGTGTCGGCCTCCGTTGCAGCGGCGTCCGCAGGGTCCAGAGCCTCCTGCCTCGCTCTCGCTCCTGTGGGAGACAAAAGCAAACCAGCATCGTCCTGTGGCAACGGTGATGCCGCTTGACCCGGTGGCTCGACGATGTGGCCGGTTGCAGAGTTAGGACCAATCAGAACAGACGCATGCTGGAGGGGGGGGGGGGGATACCACCAAAGGCTGTTGCAACAGGGCTGGGGCTGTCGATGCTGACGATGCCACCGCAGGCCCGACCGGTACTGTCGCCGACCTCGTGGCTGATGACGGTGATCCTGACGTGGCCCTGGCAGTGGTTTCGGCACGAACATCGCGCCCTACAAGAGCTCCCAAAAAGCTCGAAGCGTGGTCTTGCAGCGGTGTCAGATGCGTTGGTGGGGAAGAAGATGGGGCAGGTGGTGGCACGCTAGGAGCGTGGGGGGGAACAGGAGGTTGTCATTCGCGTCGGCAGCAGCATCCACTACTTGATTTGCTCGCAGGAGAGTGAGTACTTGTTCCAACAGCATTTCGTACGGGAAGTCAAAGTCGAGGCGTGTGAAGCAGCATGGCGTGGTGATTCAGCATGTTCGTCCAAAGGCAAGGAACATGTGGGATAATCCATAACGGCATGGGCAGAGGCATGGCTTTTCACAGCGGCTGAATGATCACGAAGTTGCATGTTGGCAAGTTCGAAAGCCAAACAAGGCCTGGTCGGTTGGCCTACATCAGCGGGAGGGCGTAGAACAAGCGGTGAAGAACAGAGAGAACCGTCTTCTGAAGCATCCTTGTTTTCTCCCATCAACCCAGAGCTACGAAAATCACCCCGATCATACATCACTTGCCTGTTACCGTGGCCTGACCTCCGTCCCCCTTTTCCGCCGCGACTGCTGTCAGTGCTGGTCGCCCTGCTGTTGCCCCCGCTCTGGTTCTGGCTCCGGCTGCGGCTACGCCTAGACGAAGGCGTGTTTCTCCCACGACGGTCTCCGCTCCGGCTGCGCCCACGCCTAGACGAAGGATTGGTGCGTTGTTGACGTTCTGCGCTCCGACTCCTGCTCCGGCGATGGCGACTCGCCGGCGAAGACCTGGTAGGCTGGTTCCCCACGGCTCGCCCTCGCCCGCCATCTCCGACGCCGCGCCCTCGCGAAGACTGGGTGGAGCGGCGGTGGTCGTCCGTCCCGCTCTTGGCCGTCGAATCTTGGTCACCCCAACGGTTCTTCCAGCTCTTGGACACAGGAGCTGCCGACCGATTGTAGTCCTTGTCCCCTCGAGAACCATGTGCAGGGCGTGAAGAGGCCTGCCGGGGGGCTTGCAGATCGTGCTTGAAATCGTTGTTGGAGGCAGCACGAGCAAGAGGCAGCTGGAGTCCTCCATCTTGTGTCACCACCGACGTTCCTTGAGGACCTCTATCGAAGGTGGCACGACGGAGAGCGAAAAAAAGCTGGAACACGGACTGCCGCGAAGAAGGCGGAAGTTTCGCGATGTAGGGGGTATGGTAAGTGTGCCCGAAAGCACCGGTGTGCGGTTGGGGAAATTGCGCATGGACGAGTTGTTTTATGCCAGCCCATGTAAAACGAGCTGCCAATTTTTCCTCATTGTGTAACGTTACTTCTGCAAGCATCTCCAACGGGCGGGACAGGAACGCTGTATCTCCAACGTGGAACTCGTACACCGTGGTTGCGACCGCAAACGATGCTCCGTCTTCAGCATCGGCCGGAAGCCCAACATCACCGAAAACTCCGGAGTCGCTGCTCTCTCCCGCTCCTTCTTGTTCGTCGGAGAAGCCGCCACCTCCCGCTCCTTCTCGTGCGGCGAGGCGGNTAAAACGAGCTGCCAATTTTTCCTCATTGTGTAACGTTACTTCTGCAAGCATCTCCAACGGGCGGGACAGGAACGCTGTATCTCCAACGTGGAACTCGTACACCGTGGTTGCGACCGCAAACGATGCTCCGTCTTCAGCATCGGCCGGAAGCCCAACATCACCGAAAACTCCGGAGTCGCTGCTCTCTCCCGCTCCTTCTTGTTCGTCGGAGAAGCCGCCACCTCCCGCTCCTTCTCGTGCGGCGAGGCGGTACTATGGGAACCAAGGGGCACCTGGGATTGCGTGGGGGGGGGACGATAACACGACGACGGGGGTAGGGGGCTGCTCGCGGGTCCTGGTGGCGGGGCTCCAGCTCCTCCAGCCGCGATCGGAGCGCCCCCTGCTTCGCCCTAGCCGCTTGGAGATACCCCTCACTCTCCGCCAGAGCAGCCGCACGCTCCTCCTCCTGCTTTCTCGCAGCAGCAGCCCGAACAGCCTCACGCTCCTCCTCCTGCTTCCTCGCCGCGGCAGCCCGAACAGCCTCACGCTCCTCCTCCTGCTTCCTCGCCGCAGCAGCNCCCTCACTCTCCGCCAGAGCAGCCGCACGCTCCTCCTCCTGCTTTCTCGCAGCAGCAGCCCGAACAGCCTCACGCTCCTCCTCCTGCTTCCTCGCCGCGGCAGCCCGAACAGCCTCACGCTCCTCCTCCTGCTTCCTCGCCGCAGCAGCCAGAGCAGCCTCACGTTCCGCCAAGCGCTCCGCGTCCTCACGCTTCGCCTGCTCTCGCGCCTCCGCCTCTGCTATCTTCCCAGCAAGACCGTCGCACCACATCTCGTTTAACCTTTGGTACGCCATAAACTCGTCGTGGGGCAAGAGGATTAATTTGTCTTCCGGCGGGAGCGAGAAAGGAGGAACGGAAAGGGGGGAATCGGACGACAGATGGGCCGCTTCTACAATATCCTCCAGAGAGGCACGTCCGGTGTTGTAGGCCCGCTCTAGTTCCGCCGGATCTGCTGTGGCGATGTTGGCCAGCAAATTATTGACGGTGAACACAATGGGCATGGGGGGACTCTCGTCTCCCGCACCGGCCGCTGGAAACTGCTCTGCGGTGGGAGCCTCGCCCTCGGGTTCGTAATCCAGGATTTCCACATTGTCGCCCAGTAGTTCCACATTGCCGCTGGACATGGTGTCCTCATTTTTAACAAGAACAGGGCCAGAGAGAGGGTAGCTACGATCGATTGTGGAAAGGGCAGCAGGGCCAGAAACAGCAGATGTAGGATAACCAAATGCAGTTGAGGCAGCAGCACCAAGAGCAGCAGAAGCAGTAAAGCCGGGTGCAATTTCGGGAAAAGCAAGCTGAGGTCCATGCGAAAGGCGGAGATATCCACAGGATAGCATACGCCCNCTTCTACAATATCCTCCAGAGAGGCACGTCCGGTGTTGTAGGCCCGCTCTAGTTCCGCCGGATCTGCTGTGGCGATGTTGGCCAGCAAATTATTGACGGTGAACACAATGGGCATGGGGGGACTCTCGTCTCCCGCACCGGCCGCTGGAAACTGCTCTGCGGTGGGAGCCTCGCCCTCGGGTTCGTAATCCAGGATTTCCACATTGTCGCCCAGTAGTTCCACATTGCCGCTGGACATGGTGTCCTCATTTTTAACAAGAACAGGGCCAGAGAGAGGGTAGCTACGATCGATTGTGGAAAGGGCAGCAGGGCCAGAAACAGCAGATGTAGGATAACCAAATGCAGTTGAGGCAGCAGCACCAAGAGCAGCAGAAGCAGTAAAGCCGGGTGCAATTTCGGGAAAAGCAAGCTGAGGTCCATGCGAAAGGCGGAGATATCCACAGGATAGCATACGCCCAGTGATAAAAGCTTCGTGCACACGAGGTTGAAGCGGATCCAACCAACCAAGCAGAAAAAGCGTCCAAAAGCACACCATGCCACGCACAAACAGCAGTAGAAGCTAGCACAAAGGGCCCGTGTAACATGTAGGCACGAGGTTTTCCGACCAAAAGACACGCAGAGCAGCACGGCGTTCCTCGGCAACTGGTGCCGAAGTGCGAGTAAAGGCCGCTGTGGGTTTGCGCTGTTGAAAGGTTTCCAATTCAAATGCTTTGAGGGTGAACGATTCCCCGAAAAAAAGTGCGATGTGATTTCGAAAAATGGAGGGAAGGCTGGTGGGGCGGCTGACACCCAATTTGTGTGCACACAACGCGTTTCAAGTCGATGTACGCGGAGTCAAATCGGAGAGCACAACAGGAAAATCCGCGGACATCGGCCGTTACGCCGGCATGAATGCAGTAGAGGTGGTACCAGACGTGGGAAGCATGCTGTCATCTCGGGTCCCACTACACAAAGCCAGCAACTCAGGACGCTCCACGCAGAGGGTATCCGCCACAGAAATCACTTCATGGACCGCCGATGCAGACAAAATAGACGGATTCCACCTCGGGAAAAAACGCACGAAAAACACGTGTTTCGCCAAAAAAACGTGTTTCGAGGTTCCGCCGCGCCTTTTCGTACGAATTACTGCAGTCCAGCTCGTCTGTTTTTTTTCCCATTTGGTGCGTTTTTTTTTTCCGTGTTTGAAAAAAACAAACTTCATGCGCGCACACGCACACATCCACCTTACCGCACGATACGTACTTCGAGAGCATAGCTATCAATCCCTGAGGCAACTGGTGTGGAACCGGCACGCGTTGGGGTCATTTCCGGTGAACGCTTGTGTTTAAAAGAACGTGCTGGAGGCGAGAGTGGTGGGAGTGGTTGGGACAGCTTTTCACCCGCACCAGTGACCGCGGTAGCCGCCTCTCCTACGGCGGACTTCGTGTGCATCCCCGCCCCTTGAGGGAGGTAGCGAGTCATCAGTCACACCAGCGGTCAAGTGCTTGGAAGTCAGGGTTAGCACAGTTCACCCGGCAGCGTGGTTCGAGCTGGGAGCGTAGTTTAAGTTGGGAACGCATTGGAGTTGCCGCATTGCCACTACCACCAGAACGAGGAAACGCTCCTCTTCTCCAGCCACCGCACACAGCAGAGCTGCCGTAATCATCTGCATGATTTGGTCATGCCTCTCATGCCGAATCTTACCACGCTGTAGGCGCGCCATATGCTTGAGGACGTCAACGCGCGTGCCAACATCACGCCAAATCACGCCGCCGCGTGTTCCGCGCTTTGCGGAAATTAAAAAAAAAGAGGGGGTACTGATGATGTCCGACATGAAATTACATAACATATACCAATATACTCCGGAGTATTTGAGACACACAAGACAGCTACCAAACTGATTTTTTGAGCCTGTCACCCGCAGGGGAGTTGTCCCTATATGCTGTCTAGGAAACCGTAGACATACAGACAGGTAGTTTTCTCTGACGCTATGATTCCATTGTTAATCTGTCTCGGACTCTTACCTATGATAGAGATGGACTCGTTGTGTCATATTAAGAAAAATAATATATATATATATATCAAGAGCACGGGGAGGGGTTCCAACCGGCACTAGCGGGGAGACAGCGAAACACTATTTTTCAACCGTCACTTTCTGAAACGCATTTTTCCGAACACGTTTTTTCGTGCGTTTTTTAGGTGGAATCCCTTGAATAGCTTTCGAGGGATGGCGAACGTACGAAAAATCACCCAAAACATCGCGATGGTCTCCGAGGCGCGTATCCCTGGCAAGGTCCCAGTCCCGCGAGCGATTCGCAAAAGCATCACAAGCCAGCATCTCTACAGGAGAGGAAACAGAGAAGAGGCTAGGTCTAGATTCTCGTGGGTGGTGAGACCAAATAACAAGCAACCCGGTGGTTGTGAAAAAAGCGTGGCAACAACACACAGCAGTGTGGAAGCCGCGTCCAGTACCCGCTTACCGTGTAATGCCACCTGACGCCAAGTTTCAAGGAGTGAAGCCGTGGGCGGTAGCTTGCTCCTAGAGACAGATGAAGATTCTGTCGTTGACACGCTTGTCCACGACCACGTTGAGATGGGAAAGTTGCTTGTTATTGCTGAGAGACGATCAGCAAAGGTCTGAGATGAAGTGGGGATCCAACATCTCAGGGGGTACACAGAGTAGACAATTCTAAGGGGGTAGGGGTCAGAAGGGTTTACCTCCTGACCGACCCGCATCCTATCAACAATAAGGAAGGGACGGAGGAACGATGAATGTGAAAGGAGTCTTCAAGGAACGACTTCTTCAGATCGTTTCGGTGGCTACACAGGTGGCCATATCTCGGNGAAGGGACGGAGGAACGATGAATGTGAAAGGAGTCTTCAAGGAACGACTTCTTCAGATCGTTTCGGTGGCTAC